CAGTTCAGCCCTGGCTTGCTCATATTTTGCACAGTGGAGCAAAATATGTTTTATGGAATCGGTGTCTTGAGCACATGAGCAAAGTCTGTCCTGGTAGGGAACTCCTCTCAACCTGCCATCCAACACTGCAGAAGGAAAGACATTTAGTCTGGCTTTGGTGAAAAGCCTTTGATAATTTGGTACTGTCAGGTTTTTAATGTAAGATGTTAACTTAAAGACATACCCATATTGTACTCCTACTGCCAGTGGACTACAGACTGCGTGTGATTGAGATCGCAAGTCACTGTGTGCATTGTCCCATAATCTTTGCTTTAACGTCTTTAGGGTGCCTTCATAACCCAGGTAATACAGTTGGGGAGGGGTGACAGACCAATAGAGGTGGCTTTTTTAGCCATGGTTTTCTGCTAACAAATTCCTCATTGATCAGGTGTTGGTACAAACTTGCTAACAAATTCCTCATTGATCAGGTGTTGGTACAAACCCTTCCCTAGATCAAACACTGATAAACCGAGTGACCGCTATATCAGGCCAGTGACCCATCTTGTCCAGCATCTTGTTCTCACAGCGGCCAACCAGATGGCAAGCCCACAAGCAGTGTTTGAGCACCCCTAAAGTGCCTTTCTGCATCCTCCTCACTGGAAATACACTACTTGGGATGTGTCTCATTTCATCATAACCTCCCAGCTGGTCCCTACAGTAGTTGGAGTAATCAAACCAAGTTGTTGGGGAGTCCTTTAGCACTGTAATACTGTAATGAGCTGGACTTAATCACCTTAATATGATGCACTTCACCATGGCAAAGATCCTTTCTGATGCTTATGAGCAATCAAGTCCCATTCAGCAAAAGGTCCTCTCCAGTGTTAATTGAATGCTTCCTGATGGTCAGTACTGCTTATTTTACTGCTTCCTGTTGAGCGTCATGGTGGGATTCCTGATGCAAAATATTGTAATTCGAATGGTCCCTCGAATACCCTTTCATTACACTGGCAGTTTATATAGGAGGATTATTTTTAAAAATATATATCTACCCCCCCCCCCACACACACACCTTTGTAGGAAAATAGCATTCTCTTCTTTCATTTCATTTGAATGGCTTTCTCCTCTCCCTGCCACAGAAACTATCCTACTGTAAATTAAAGGAAAGTGTTAAGGGAGCCATTCAGAAGCACTACTGCAGTAATCCCACTACCATACTCGGCAAGAAGCAATGCATTGTACAACAGGAAATCTAAAACGCACAAGAGCTGCCATGCCTCTGTAGTGCTTTACCCCCAAACGATTTAGCAACAGCCTCATCCAAGTTCTCAAATGGAAACTTGAAAGTGAACAAAGGCTGGCAATTCTAGAGGAAAGGGCTAGTACAAAAGCAACCAGAATCTATTTACACGCGGGTGGGTGGACTGAAGCAGCCTCTGCCTTTTCTGGCCTACGTTCCCTTTCAAAGGCTTGCATTGTTCCCTGTGGATTATTAGACCAGCCAAGGCATCAAGTTTCCACCCGAGTTGCATGTGAATAATGGATGAAGCCCAGGAACGCTCCATGGTGATGACACCTGGCTTTGCAGCATCGCCCTGGGAGAGGCTGCTGGTAGACCTTGCAGAGGAAGCCAGCTGTCACGTCCCCTGTGTCAGAAGCCTGCTCTGTGTGGTGGTGACTGACCATTGGCTACTTCCCTGGCATCCTTGCTCTTATGAAAACAGACCTTCATTCTGTAAAACCATTCTCTCTAAAGCAGCATTGCACCATTTGAAACAGGCATGGCTTCCTGCAAAAGATTCTGGGAACTGCATTTAGTTGAACTGAGCATTGTTAAAGGGTAAAGGGACCCCTGACCATTAGGTCCAGTCGCGGACGACTCTGGGGTTGCGGTGTTCATCTCACTTTATTGGCCGAGGGAGCCGGCGTACAGCTTCCAGGTCATGTGGCCAGCATGACTAAGCCACTTCTGGTGAACCAGAGCAGCGCATGGAAACGTCGTTTACCTACCCACTGGAGCAGTACCTATTTATCTATTTGCACTGCATGCTTTCAAACTGCTAGGTGGGCAGAAGCTAAGACCGAACAACGAGAGCTCACCCCATTGCGGGGATTCAAACCGCCGACCTTCTGATCAGCAAGCCCTAGGCTCTGTGGTTTAACCCACAGCGCCACCCGCATCCCTGAGCATTGTTAGGAGACCCCCAATTCTCCGGAAGCTACAGTTGCCAGAATTCCCTGGGAAGAGGGTTTGATTGTTAAACCAGTCTGGGAGTTGTATGTCTGTGAGGAGAACAGGGCAGCCTTACTCTCTCGGTACTGTCAAACTACATTTCCCAGGATTCTTAGGGTGAAGCCATGACTATTTAATGCTTCAAAATTATAGTACAGGTGGAACTTTCATCTGAGTGTTGCCATTACAGAATACAGTAGGGAGGAAGGAGGCGGCTGGGGCAAAAAATGGAATTGGTTGACAGGGCCTATCGTCGGTCAGGTGGACAAGGCAATATAATTTCCATAGCAGCAAAGCCTCAAATTATGTATTGGCTCAAATCCTAGTTTCATATATAGCTTCTGTCTCTCAGCACATCAAAGAAATGGATGAGACGTTAAGATAAGTGAAGAGAGTGATTGTCTGCCATTTACATTTCGCAAATAAACAACTGTCATCCCAGACAAAAGTTAAGTTAATTTTAATCCGTGTTCTCTGGGGCCAGGCATACATAAAAAGAGCATTTAAAAGGAGTGCCTTTGCTCAGAACAAGCCGGACAATTTTTAATTTATACAGTTTTAGTAGGGTTTTGTAATAGAAAGAAAACAAAGCCGCCATCCTAATGCTACTGTTTCATGACATCCTAATTGCTGGCTGCCATGTCAGGATGTGATGGAAGTGTGATCCCATTTCTGCTTCTGGAGACGACTTAAGAATAGAAGCGGTGTTCCAGGTGAATATAGTGCTTCAAAAGCTGTCAGCAATGCACAAACAAGCATATCCAGATGGCATTCAGCATGGTCCCAGTGCGCAGCAGCTGTGAAAACGGTGAATTCCATGCTGGGAACCGGGGGGGGGGGGATTGAAAATGAAAATAAAACACTCGTAATGTTGCTGTGGAAATCTGGTGTTGACCCCATTTTGAATACTGTGTACAATCCTAGTCACCTCACTTCAAAAGAGATTGTAGAGTTGGGAGTATGTTCTGTTAAGGAAAATCCTGTAATTTCCGTAACAGTTCAGAAAGGGGTAGCCAAAACCATCAAGAGTGGAGTAAACCCCCCCTATGAAGAAAGGTGGTAGCACTTGGGGCCTATTATTGTTATTACTACTACTATGACTATTATTTATTAAATTTGTATACTGCCCTTCCTCCATAGATGTCAGGGCAGTTCACAGCATAGAAATGCAATATAGAAATGCAATATACATAATTAAAAAACCAAAACAATTGCCTCCTCTCCCAATCCCATCCCACAAACACATTTAAAAGGATAGGTGATGTTAGCCAAAAGCCTGGTCAAAGAGGAACGTTTTTGCCTGGCACTTTAAAGGTGTATAATGAAGGCGCCAGAGGAACCTCCCTGGGGAGAGAGCATTCCACAAACGGGGAGCCACTGCAGAGAAGGCCCGTTCTCATGTTGCCACCGTCCGGACCTCTCATGGAGGAGGCACACAAAGAAGGGTCTCGCATGGTGATTGGGGGTCTGGGTCAGTTTATATCTGGAGGGGCAGTCCTTGAAGTATTGCAGGCAGTCCTGAGCTTTAAGGCTTTAAGAGGTTAAAACCACCACATGGAATTGGGCCCGGAAGCAAATTGGCACCCAGTACAGTTGGGCCGGGATCAGTGTAATATGCTCAAGACATCTTACCCCGGTGAACAGCCTGGCTGCCGAATTCTGCACCAGCTGAAGTTTCCGAACCATCTTCAGAGGCAGCCCCACGTTTAACCTTTTGAGAAAAAGCAAGTGAGAGTTGGCATGATGGAAGTTTATAAAATTCTGCATGGCATAGAGAAAGTGGATAGAGAAAAGTTTTTGTCTCATAACACTGGTACCTGTGGACAGCTAATGCACCTGAACGTTGGAAGTTAAACTATGGAAGTCATTCCCACAGAAATCGGTGATGGCCACCAACTTGGACAGCCTTAAAATAGGATTAGACAAATTCCTGTAGCTTAAGGCTAGCTATGAAGACTGCTGGGCCTACGTGGTTGGGGGCAGTAATGCTTCTCAATAAAAGTTGCTGGAAACCCCAGGAGGAGAAAGAGCTCTTGTCCTCTGAGAGCCAGTGTGGTGTAGTGGTTAAGAGCGGTAGACTCGTAATCTGGTGAACCGGGTTCGCGTCCTCGCTCCTCCACATGCAGCTGCTGGGTGACCTTGGGCCAGTCACACTTCTTTGAAGTCTCTCAGCCCCACTCACCTCACAGAGTGTTTGTTGTGGGGGAGAAAGGGAAAGGAGAATGTTAGCCGCTTTGAGACTCCTTAAAGGGAGTGAAAGGCAGGATATCAAATCCAAACTACTACTACTACTACTATTCTTCTTCTTCTTCTTCTTCTTCTTCCTTCTTCCTTCTTCCTTCTTCCTTCTTCCTTCTTCCTTCTTCCTTCTTCCTTCTTCCTCTGGTCCTGATTGTGGGTTCCCGACAGGCATCTATCTGGCCAAACCTCTGCACTTTAGAACCAGTTAGCTTCATTCAAGGAATTCAAATGCTAAGGCAATGAAGCACAATATAAGAAATAATTTGAATGCAATTTAAAATCAACATTCTTGTTTAAAGGGGACATGCTCCGGATCACCTGAACAAAGCTTGTGGACCAAGCCACCAGCTTGACTACTCATAAGGCCTATGAAAAAGAAGGCATGCTCTGTTTTCAGCTGAGGGTTGTGCAGGGTTCGTGCCATTTGAAGCATCAACTATCCCAGAGAACAGGTGGAGGTTAGGACCCAGTGGAGCTGCCTGCCTCTTTCCCAGCTGGGTCACTCCAGCCATTTGTCTTCAGTGCTGTCAGCAGGTTATACGTACAGGGCTTTGTGTGAGGCATGTACCGAGCCTACCAGCCTCTCCTACCAGCAACCAACAGGTACCTGCAGGAGAAATGGGACAAAGCCAGTTATCAGGAGCACTGCAGGAAGGTACACTATGGACTACAAAAGGGATGTTGTTGGGGGGGGGGTCTTATTAAAAGGTAAAGGGACCCCTGAACATTAGGTCCAGTCGTGACCGACTCTGGGGTTGCAGCGCTCATCTCACTTTATTGGCCAAGGGAGCTGGCGTACAGCTTCCAGGTCATGTGGCCAGCATGACTAAGCCGCTTCTGGCGAACCAGAGCAGCACACGGAAACGCCGTTTACCTTCCCGCCGGAGTGGTACCTATTTATCTGCTTGCACTTTGACGTGCTTTCGAACTGCTAGGTTGGCAGGAGCAGGGACTGAGCAAGGGGAGCTCACCCCATCGTGGGGATTTGAACTGCCAACCTTCTGATTGGCAAGTCCTAGGCTCTGTGGTTTAACCCACAGCGCCACCCGCGTCCCTGGGGTGTCTTATTACAGCTGGCCTATTCCTCACTTGTACCCCCAAAGCAAACTGTAGGGAGTGGGGTGGGTGGTGGGCAGGTGCACAGGTAAAGACTTTTAAGGAAGAGAACCTGTGGGCACTTGAGATGCTGTTAAGACTACAGCTCCCATCATCCCTCAACATTGGCCATACGCACTGGGGGGTTGATGGGAGGTAGTGTCCAACAACATATGGAGAGCCATCTGTTTTAGAGGATACTTTGCAGCAGGTTACTTTGCAGCAGGTGTAAATGTAGAAGAGACATCTCTCTCCTCCCCTTGCAGGAAGGGATGCCTCTTGGAAGATAGAGCTCTCCATCAGCAGTATTTACAATAACTTCATTAAAATAAAATAATAAAGTGGTTGAAATCTGCTGCTCAGTTAATTGGGGACATGTTTTTGTTGTTGTTTAGTTGTTTAGTCGTGTCCGCCTCTTCGTGACCCCATGGACCAGAGCACGCCAGGCACTCCTGTCTTCTTATGTTGGTAGCTTCGAAGACCCTATCCAACCCTCTCGTCCTCTGTCGTCCCCTTCTCCTTGTGCCTTCCATCTTTCCCAACATCAGGGTCTTTTCCAGGGAGTCTTCTCTTCTCATGAGGTGGCCAAAGTGTTGGAGCCTCAGCTTCACGATCTGTCCTTCCAGTGAGCACTCAGGGCTGATTTCCTTCAGAATGGAGAGGTTTGATCTTCTTGCAGTCCATGGGACTCTCAAGAGTCTCCTCCAGCACCAGAATTCAAAAGCATCAATTCTTCAGCGATCAGCCTTCTTTATGATCCCTTTATGGGGACATGTTTTCTTGATAATAAAATTATGAAATGTTGCAGCCTTATCATTTTGCTTTCTTCTGTTCCACTTCTCCTTTAGAAATGTCAGAGTGGCTTAAATCACCAGACACTCACCCTGGGTCTCAGGAAGCTGGACTTGGATGAAAACAATTTCAAATGCCAAAAAACCATCTTCCAAGATGAGCTTTCCAAACTCCTGCAGCTCTCCCAAGGAATGACTCAAAGGGTGACCCATGGCAGGGTGTAATTAAATAGCCCCAGAATGAGTCATTCATGGGTTTTGTTGCTGTTTGTACCTAAACACTGCAGGAGAATCCCCAGCAGTTCCAAACAGGACTGGGAGAAGATTCCTGTTTGAAGCCATTCCCTGACAGTTTGGGTAATACCAATGTTCTAGTTACTTGGCATAACACAGCTTCCTGTCATCCTATCTTTGAGCCTGATTTGCTGACATGATAGATCTGGGTGTCTTGTTAAAATATTTAATTGTAGCCATGTCTAGTTCTTGTGAGCTGTCATCCTATCAAAACAGACTGGTCAAAGAAATTCAAGAAATGCCATGAATCCAGATCATTAGCTTCAGATATTCCTGACACTCTCTCAACCTTGCAGGTGGAACTAGCAGTTCCTGTGGTCAACACAAAAGCCCCACCTACACCTTTGCATCTTCAGGTGAATTTGAAGAAACTCCAGGTATTGTGGAATGGACTGAACTGGATGCTCAATGTGGGCTTGTTTATGCAGTCACAATTCAGAAGTTTATATCCAAGAGGGTTGGGGATATCCTGGGATAACTGCCCCTTGCAAATGCAAACAAATAATTTCAAGATCTACCAGACATATACCCTTGGTGGGGCAATTACAAATCATGGTATTAGTCTAATGAATGAAAGGTGGTCTTCTGCACTCCATAACTGAAGGCAATTGCTGGGCTCACATATTTTTGGCTCAACCAAACAAATCTCCAGATGGAAAAGTAAATTGCCATCAGCCTCTCATGTTGTGTGTTTTCAGCTGGAAAGAGAGCGCCAAGCTGTTTGGGACCAGGAAAACCGCTCACATTCTGCCAAACTTTGGCGCATCAAGCAGTCGCCGGGACGGGTGGACAACTGGAACTTCTATTGCATTCACAGGTCTGTAAGTAGTGGGTTTAAATTAGGCATGGGCAACTAGTGGCCCTCAGACAAGTATTGTGGGTGGGTGGGGGGACAAGGAAGAGGGAATGGGGTGGGAGAGAGGAGGATGAGGATGAGGATGAGGACAAGTCTTGCACACCTATAGCCCTGTCTCTGCCCACCATCAGAATATGGTCCCTGGCAGGTCACCCATGAGAAAATGGAGTCCTTGACAAAAGAAAAAGTTTCCCAAACCCTGGTTTAAACAGTGACCAGGGCAGGTTCAGCAGAGATGCCAGAAGGATCCAAGTTCTAGTCTGATAGTGGAAGGGAAAATATAGTGGTACCTCGGGTTAAGAACTTAATTCATTCTGGAAGTCCATTCTTAACCTGAAACTGTTCTTAACCTGAGGTACCACTTTAGCTAATAGGGCCTCCTGCTGCCACTGCGCCACCGCCACACGATTTCTGTTCTCATCCTGAAGCGAAGTTGAAATATACTCAGAGTCGAGAGTGGATTTCATGCTCTTTATTCAGCTCATAGTGGTGAGGAGGAATGAATGTTCCCCCAAAATATCTGCTTTATATACATTATTTACACAATGGGCTGCACGTGATTGGCTAATTCCGGGATTCTCCTGTAGGCCAATCAGGTTGTAGATTCACTTCCACCTGGAGCTGGATTCGGTGGCTCCTGTGGACCAATCATACTGCTGCATTGTTCTAGGACCAATCAGACTGCTACATTTTGGATCCTATTCAACTCAGTACATAACAAAAGTTCTTAACCGGAGATACTATTTCTGGGTTAGCGGAGTCTGTAACCACTGTAATGCCAAAGGCATGGGTAGGCAAGCTAAGGCCCAGAGGCCGGATATGGCCTAATCGCCTTCTCAATCCAGCCCATGGACGGTCCAGGAATCAGCGTGTTTTTACATGAGTAGAATGTGTCCTTTTATTTAAGATGCATCTCTGGGTTATTTGTGGGGCATAGGAATTCATTCATATATATTTTTCAAAATATAGTCCGATCCCCACACAAGGTCTAAGGGACAGTGGACTGGCCCCCTGCTGAAAAAGTTTGCTGACCCCTGGCCAAAGGGCACCTCCTGACATCAGTAAGCTGTTTCCAGCAAGGGGGTGGAGGCAAATGCCATCTGAATTCAGATCATTTGGGGCTGGCTGTGGCTCAAAGGGGACCAGGACGCAATGCAAGAAACCTAGATCTAAAATAAAGGGTTTCAAGATGGAATGAGGAAGCTGTGGATCTCTGTACGCTTTTGGACTCCAACTCCCATCATCGCTGGCCACTGGCTATGTTGGCAGGGGCTGATGAGCGCTGGAGTCCTACAAGCTCTGGAGGTCCACAGCTCCTCCTTTCCTTCTTTAAAAGAAGACCACCCCCTCCCCTGTGATCCGCTCTTCCCCGTACAGCTTGAATTGGGGCAAGCGGCAGCGTGATCTTGCACGCATCTACTGGGAGAACCAAGAGCTGGCGAAGCGTCTGGAAGGAAGGAGGTCAGAACTTGCTCAGGAACACTGGCAGCAAGACTGGCACAAGGAGCAGCTAATCCGTAGCAGCATTGCCCGCTACCCCCGTGAGACGGTGAGCTGCCAGGTAACAAGAGTTGGATTTGCACCAGTCGTGGAAAGTGGAAGAAGGAAAATCCATCTACAGTCCCCTCCTTTTAATAGACACTAGCCTAGGGGCTGCCAACACACCCCTGTGCCCACCAATACTTGTTTATTTATTTCTATTTATTTTAAGAGTTCTAACCCACACTTTCATAAAATATATATCAAGGTGGCTTACAAGATAAAATGCAGGAAGATCAATAAATATCTGTAAAACACAATTGAAACAGCAATGAAACAGCAATAGATTATAAATAAAAAATACGTATTGTGAAGACCTGCCTAAAACAATTCAGCTTTAAAATAAGGCAGGGGCATTTCCTGCCTAACCTCTACAGGTAGGACAGGGGCTGCCATGCTAAAGGCTTAGTCCTTAGTGAAGGCCAACCGAATCTCAGGGTTGCGGGGAATCGCCTGAATTGCCCCATCAGAGGATCAAAGTGATCAAGGTTGTATATTAGTGATGTAGATCTTGGATCTTCTCCCCCACTCTTATGGCCAGTGTGCTTTTTATTACTATAAATAACACATATCAGATTGAAATGGTTGCCCCACCCCAGAATGTAAGATTAGAAGAAGGCCAATCTAATGTTTCAATTTCATTTTTAGTTCTATTTATGCTGGTCTGCGGCCATCTTAAAATTTTCATTGATTTGGTTTCTGCACTCATGCATTAAAGGTAAAGGTAAAGGTACCCCTGCCCGTACGGGCCAGTCTTGACAGACTCTAGGGTTGTGCGCCCATCTCACTCAAGAGGCCGGGGGCCAGCGCTGTCCGGAGACACTTCCGGGTCACGTGGCCAGCGTGACAAGCTGCATCTGGCAAGCCAGAGCCGCACACGGAAACGCCGTTTACCTTCCCGCTAGAAAGCGGTCCCTATTTATCTACTTGCACCTGAGGGTGCTTTCGAACTGCTAGGTTGGCAGGCGCTGGGACCGAACAACGGGAGCGCACCCCGCCACGGGGATTCGAACCGCCGACCTGATGATCGGCAAGTCCTAGGCGCTGAGGCTTTTACCCACAGCGCCACCCGCGTCACATGCATGCATTACTCCATTACAAAGAATAACTAGGAGTTAACCATCACAGACATTAATTTAATGTAAAATAAATAAATAAATGAAAAAATTGTCCAGTATCACCTTAGAGACCAACTAAGTTTGTTCTGGGTATAAGCTTTTGTGTGCATGCACACTTCTTCAGATACGATACCTGAATCTATGAATTTAAAGGTGAGTTAAAAGTATATTAAGGGTAGGGTAACTTAATATACATTATTAGGCAATGTGTAAACATCTACAGCAAGAGAACACGCCACTTATGTTTTTGTCTTGGTGCCAATGTAGCAATGCTCTCATTATGGGATGCTCCAGTTGCATTCTGGGTCCTGAAAAGATACACACATATGTACTTTGAGTAGTCTCAGAACAGAAGTTGGCTGTTGAACTCATGATCAACCTTTACTAAATAGCAAAACCAAATAGTAAATTAACAATGTCACAGCAGCAATTAAATGGCAGGAGTGGGAAGGTATAATTAACAGGATCACTGCACCTCGTTCTTTATCACACTGACATACCATTCATTTTCAATCAGTTATTTATTATGATTAAGTTAGATACTGCTTTGGTGCAAAAAGGGCTCTGTTCCCTGCATGGCTGTGGTGGGAGTGCCCCAAAAGTGGATGGGACCAAAGTGTGCTTAGAGCCGGCAATTAATTGGCGGAGCAGAGCTGAATAATGCAACTCTGAAGTTACAGTAAAACTTTGACAGCAAGACACTGCTCTTCCTCGCCACCAAGGTAGTTAGTTTCTTTGGTGACGGTGAAAACTTCAGTCCATTTATAAAACTAGCCCACCGTTTCTGTCTCATCAGCATGGTGTAGTGGTTAAGAGCAGTGGACTCGTAATCTGGTGAACCGGGTTTGATTCCCTGCTCCTCCTCATGCAGCTGCTGGGTGACCTTGGGCCAGTCACACTTCTCTGAAGTTTCTCAGCCCCACTCACCTCACAGAGTGTTTGTTGTGGGGGAGGAAGGGAAAGAAGAAGAAGAAGAAGAGTTTGGATTTGATATCCCGCCTTTCACTCCCCTTCAGGAGTCTCAAAGCGGCTAACAATCTCCTTTCCCTTCCTCTCCCACAACAAACACTCTGTGAGGTGAGTGGGGCTGAGAGACTTCAGAGAAGTGTGACTGGCCCAAGGTCACCCAGCAGCTGCATGTGGAGGAGCGGAGACTTGAACCCGGTTCCCCAGATTACGTGACTACCGCTCTTAACCACTACACCACACTGGCTCTCTTTGAGGCTCCTTCGGGTAGTGATAAAGCGGGATATCAAATCCAAACTCTTCTCTTCTTCTTCTTCTTCTTCTTCTTCTTCTTCTTCTTCTTCTTCTCATCTGCACGCCTAAGAAGTGCCTAACCATCAGCATTGTGTTTCCCAGGCAAGGAATGGGAGAAGGAGGCAGGCATGCGAGAACAACCATATTCCCCTTTCGGCCTCTGGCAGGAGAAACCCCAGCAGAACCCGTGAACCTTTCAGCAGCAAGAATCACAGCAGAATGGGCAAGAGCTTTTGGGGAAGTGGGAGTGAGTCCACCCAAGAAGAGGAGATAACAACCACCACATGCTCACCTTCCTCTTTGGGAAAAAGAGATGTGGCCGGGCAACTCAGCAAAGAGACTTCTCTGCTGGCCAAGATTGCATCTGGAGGTTTCTGCCCATAGACATGTTGATGGTTCGTTGGTCAGGACGGATTTGGCAGGGGGAGGTTCTCTTGAAAAGCCCAGAGGTGAAGCAGCAATGATCAGCAGCAAACCTCGCACCTCTGTATGCTTAAGGGGGAACCTCAGACCTTTTGGAGACCAGCCTGAGGCCTGCTTCAGGGGACATGGAGAAGAAGGCAACATTTTCATCCACTAAAAACATTTAACCTTGCTGTAGAAGGACTGGGAGGGCTCCCTCCTTTGAAGGGAAAGCCATCCTCTGGGTGTCAGTGCCTGTCGAGTGTCTATAAGCCACCACTCAGGAAATCTCTTGAGTGGTGTTGCGGTACATCAGGTGAGGTACTGAGCAGATTCTCCATCTCCTCTGCAAAGCTTTGGTGAAATTCTTTGGCCCAGGTGCATGAAAGCAGCTCTGGCCTGTTGCTCAGTGACAGCGCACATGCTTTGTGTTAAGTAGTGGGTAGACATAGCAGGCGACACAGCGATTCTTCAAACAGCTCTTTTTATTCAGAGGCCAGAACAGAACTGAACTGAGGAGCTCAGTCAGCCTGCTTATATAGAGCTCCAGAACAACGTAACTGTAGCAACTTTCTAAAACTATCCAATCACTGAACGTCACTTTCGATCCTTCATTTGCATACAAACTATCCAATCACTGAACGTCATTTTCAATCCTTCATTTGCATAACTATCTACAGTATCCCCCTGCTGGCCCAGGGTGAGAACTTCAGTACATAACACCTTGCATCCAGAAGGTTCCCAGTTAAGTCCATAATATCTTCCATTGAAAGGTGATGGGAAAACCCCTTCTCTTACGATGACCCTGGAAAGCCTCTGCAGGTCAAACTAAACAATACTTCACTAGATCAGAAAGTAGTGTGGCCAAGTATAAAGCAGCTTCCATGTGCCTTTGTCAACCTCTGGCCTCCAGATATCAAATACAGCGGGACATATGAATGTGCCCAGCTCCTAATATCCGCTTCAGAGGCTCTTCTGTCTGTCAGTAATATAAATTAGGTTGGCTGATAGCAGGTCAGGGCCTTCTGGGTGGTGGCGCCTCCAGAGTTGTGTCCTTCCCAAGGAATTCAGTCACATCAACCTCTCTTGTAGTCTTTAGATGTGGAGTAAATACTTTATTTCTCATCTTACATTGACTATGTTTTACATTTTAATCATGCATGTTTGTGGTGGGCTCGTTGTTGTTTTGTTTTGTTTTTTGGTTACTTTATTGTTATTGTGAGCCACCTTTGAAGAATTTTATTCTTAAATATGGAATGGTTGATTGAATGAATAAAAAGTCTAATGGTTTAACATTGTTGCTACAGCCTATGGCTAAAAGAATCAAGTGGGGGGAAATAATTTACAAAAAATATTTTGTACATCCACTGCCCAGCAGTAGGGTTAGAAGAACAACGGAACTCTTTCTGCCCTGAAAAAAGCCTTTCTTTATTTTATTTTAAATAAAAAAGTTATTTATTATTTCTCTGCTCCACCGAGCTCAAAGTTCTCCCTCCTCCAGACCCTCTTTTCCAGGGAGGTCCCTGATTTAGAGAAGCTGTCCCGGGTTATGATTTGATCCTGGAATGCCCCACTTTTCTTCAGAATGTCCCTATTTTCATTGGAGAAATGTTGGAGGGTATGCTCCTCATTTTACAGTGGTACCTCAGGTTATGAACTTAATTTGTTCTGGAGGTCCGTTCTTAACCTGAAACTGTTTTTAACCTGAGGTACCACTTTAGCTAATGGGGCCTCCTGCTGCCACCGCACCGCCGGAGCACGATTTCTGTTCTCATCCTGAAGCAAAGTTCTTAACCCAAGGTACTATTTCTGGGTTAGCAGAGTCTGTAACCTGAACCGTCTGTAACCCAAGGTACCACTGTATCTAGGTAGGCTAGGTAGTGATTGGCTGAAGATCACCCAGTGAGCTTCCTCTGTGAATGGGGATTTTAACCCTTTCCTTCCAGGTGCTAATCAAACACCCTAACCCCTATACCACACTAAAGTTTGGCCTCATTGAGGGGCAGTATTTCAACATGATTAGGAAAATGAGTTGAAGAATGAGTAGAAAAAAGCATTGTGCATTTTTGTATGTACACACACACACAGTGATTTTAAAATGTTTTTAAAATATATTTTTTCTGTACTGCCCAGAGAACAAGAGTAACTGGGCAGATACTGATAAACCGAGTGACTAATTAACTGAATAAACTAATTGTCTTGTCAAGACTGTAAAGGACCGCAGATTTTAGATTTTATTGCAAGGCTTTGAAATAACCCTGTACTCCTAAAACTGAAATTATGTTAGATGGGGATGATTTGCCACCCCCTCTCCCGCCCCCAATGGGCTCCTGTTCATTTAAATGTCTCCTGACAACCAAATTGTCAGGAGGTGGAGATGCATTCAATAGCTAAAGAGAGGCAGTAAATCTATTAAGGGGCAGTTAAAACAGCACTGGGAGACGTGCAGCTCTCCAGATGGCGTTAAGACTGCAACTCCCACCAGTCCTAACAATTGACTGTGCTTGCTGGGGCTGATGGGAGTTGTAGTTCATCTGCAGTCTGGGCCAACCCATCCATGAGGCAAGGCGAGGTAACTGCCTCAGGTGGCAGGATCCACAGGGGCAGCATGATCCCGATGTGTCTCTTTATTCTCCACCCCCCTTGCTCCTGATGTAGATCTTCAAGCACCCCTTCTTCCCTGGCAGGCGAGGGGAGCTACTTTAGGGTTCGCTTGAGGTGCAAAAATGCCTTGGGCGGGCTGCCTGGAGTAAACTCATCCATTTGCCAATGCCCACAGTGGTACAGTGTGTCCGGTTGGTGGTTCGAGCCCACCCAGGGACGGCTGTGGGCAGAATTCCTGCATTGCAGGGGGGGTTGGCCTAGATGACCCCGGGGTGTCCCATGATTCGATGATTAAGCGAGAAACGGACCTTTCTGGAGGGAATGCCAGCCCGGGAGAAAGGCGGGTTATAAATATCTTAAGTAATAAATGAAATCGGATAACAGCCAGCAATTTCAAGTACGGCAACGCAAAGCGGGAATTTAATCTGAATGGATTCCTACGACTTCAGTCACCTTCGTCCAACATGAGCCGGAAGTGAAGGTTTGATGCACAACTCCCCGAGCCTCTCTCCCTCTATATCACGCCGGCCTGTAAAAAAGCTCCCTCCGTGCCGCTAGGCGGCGCTGGGGAGACGCGCGACGTCGTTTTCCTTGGCTGGTCCTTCTAGCCCCCAGCGCTTTATAGCTCTCTTCCCGGCATGCTTTGCCCTCTTTTGGACCGGCCGCCGTCGACATGGTGAGCAGGAGGGCGGCGGAATCCGAAGCCATCCGCCGCCGGGGGGCCATTGGGAAGGGAATGCGGGGTGAGACTAGCACCGGCGGAGGGGGCTGCAGGTCGCCCGGTCGGTAGTCCAGAGACTAAGCCCCCACTTCTTGTCCCTGCGGGCTGAACCCGACTTGGGGGGGGGTGCCCTGTTTCTTCCGGTATAGAGATGGCTGCATTCCTTGAGTGAAGGCTCCAAGGCCGAAGTTAGGCCGGCCAGGCCTTCCATGCATTTAGGGGGGGGGATGCGGGGCGGCGGGTGGGAGATCCAGTGGGAGATCGGGTTCTGTCATGGCGGCGGAGGCGATCTGTGCAGCCTTTTCGTAGGCCTCTGTTCACTCGCGATGGGAGAGAAGGGGAAAGGAAGGATTGGGAGGGAGCCCAATATAGGGCGGCCGCCTTCTCTTTCCGGACCTTGGGGCGCCCTGCTCCCCGAACATCTGTCAGACGGTGAGAAAACCAGCAGAATCAAGTTTCCCTTTGGCGTGATGGGGCAGCATGTGCATATTCTTGTTCAGCAACGCATCTGCATACCAGGGAAAGGTTCCAGAGGATTTTAGGCTTACGATTCAGGTATAGGGGAAAAGGTGTCTGGAGTATGTCTCTTAAATATGGTATTCTCACCTCAAGCCTTCCTCGACCTTAGCTGCCCGACCATTAAAAATTCCCCTTCCCAAAGCGCCTAAGGTTTGTTCACTCTTTCCACCTGGATTTGTGGACAATTTAAGGCAGGACAAGGACTTTCCTGCAGCAAGCTTGGGACCTTTTCCCTACTGTGCCTGGGGGTAGTGGTGCTTTTTAAGTTTCCTGGCCATGCATGGGTAGTGTTGACCCTTTGCCGTATGAGTTACTGAAGCTGCTCCCCAAGTTTAGAGGCTTCTGTCTCACCCTTGCCAAACCATGGCCTAAGCAGTGACACAAGGCATAATGTTTGTATGTAGCACAGTGCAACACATGCCAGGCAAACAATCTTCCCTTCTATTTAATAACAGTCATTAACTATTAAATGCAGTTGCACGAACTCCTGACAGAAGTTGTGTTTAAATATCAGTCAAAAAGTTGTGAATGTAAAGCCGTAGCATCTTCTTAAGTCCCGTCCTCTCAAGGTGTTTTGGATTGCAACTCCCATGATCTCTGCTGTTTGGCCATGCTGACTGGAGTTGATTGATGCTGTAGCCAAAAACATCTTAAGAGCCCCAGATTGGGAAAGACTGCCTCAAAGGGACTGTTTCTACCAATGTCACCTTTTCTGAACCCTTTTGAGATAAGACTGCACATGTCTGCCACCTTGCCCCTGCTCCCTATTTGTTTCCAGTGCACCATGTTCTGGACCTGAGTGTCTCGATAGTAGGGCCATTGAGAGGGAAGCTGCCTGGGGATTCTTCCACTCTTTGCAGCGGTTCTCAACCTGTGGGTTTCCAGATGTTGTTGGACTACAACTCCTACCATCCCTGAGCTCTGGCCTTGCTAGCTAGGGGTGATGGGAGTTGTAGTTCAACAACATCTGGGGACCCACAGGTTGAGAAAAGCTGCTACAGAAAAGGCTAGGCTGAAGATTTTAAGCCCCTTGCAAAATTTATTGTGTAGTCATTCTGTTGCATCTTGCTGATTTTGCTTTTTGTTTTGTCTTTGACTCTCCCAGGGACGAGTGCGCACAAAGACGGTGAAAAAGGCCGCCCGGGTCATAATTGAAAAATACTATACCCGTCTTGGGAATGACTTCCACACAAACAAGCGAGTATGTGAGGAGATCGCCATCATCCCTAGCAAAAAGCTGCGCAATAAAGTTGCTGGGTAGGTTGTTTGGTTCTGATCTGCTAGCGCATGCTAGGAGACCTGATGGAAATCTTAGAGCCAACTGCTCTGGGGAGGTTCCAGTGAGCTAAACACCTTTCTTAACAACCTGCATCGAAAGTGATTTTGGTCTTGTTTGTGGCCTGGTCATTGATAGTGCAGGAAGAGAATTCTTGATAGCATTTCCCGTGTTTGGAGGGTTAATTCTCATCCCTATCAAACCCTGAGCTTCTCAGACACTCCTGTGGGCTTCTCCTTAATTAACCAGAAGGTTAGAACGGGTGGAAGATTTATTTCTTGTGTGTGTCTTTAGTTTTACCTTAATGGGACTTGAGAGAATCACAGTCAAACTTAATCAGACACCCGTCTCTTTGCAGGTATGTTACCCATTTGATGAAACGCATTCAAAGAGGACCAGTTAGGGGCATCTCCATCAAACTGCAGGAAGAGGAAAGAGAAAGAAGAGACAACTATGTCCCTGAGGTAGGTTTTGAAAGCTCAGATGAGTTACTTGTGGTGCATAGATTCTCCACTCTCTTCAGATAGCAAGGAATCTATTGCCTCTCCTTTTTTTGCATGTATTCTTTTGACATTCGTGGTCCAGCACACTTGGCATACTCTATGTGCTCGCTAAGAAATGCAGCATTCACCTGGGTGGCCTTACTGCTGATTCAACTTCTATCTCCCAGTGTTGTAACAATGAACAAACCAGGTCACAGGTGACGTTAGACATATATTACGCTGCACCTTTGAAATATACATTAATGTAATGCTGAAAGCCAGTTAGGAATGCCTCAAAAGGGTGACGGACACTAGGATGGCATACTTGGATCTGAAACTAGCATTGCATATTGCTGTCTGAGTTGGCCTTGAGAATTGGACACATTTAGGTATGAGTATAGAACCTAGTGTAATAAAGGCTGTCTGTAATCTTATGTAACACTTCCAAGTTCCTACCATTTTCTAAGTGCTGTACTTACATTATTAGCCGAGACAATACCTGTCCACAGGTCCATAGTTAATACAAATGTTACAAAAGGAACGGAGAGGAAAGCAAGCCTCAGAACAGTTGCTTCTTCACTAGCAAATGGATGGGAGTAGGTTGATCTCCCCTTGCTATGATCTTTCTGGAAGGCAAGGGGTGCAGCCGTCTAGTTGGCCCTAGATCACCTGACTACTGGCAGAGGCCAGAAAGTGCTTCCCCTCAGCTCTGTAGCCTCAGGTAACTAGCAGGTGGAATAGCATGGAAGCTTGAGCTATGGCACTCAGCAGCTTGTGTCCAGTAGCTAGGATATGCTGTGCTTGTTCACTGACATGGAGAAGGACTGATGAACCTGCATCGAAAGTGATTGTGGTCTGTTGCTTGTGGCCTGATCATTGATACTGCAGGCAGAGAATTCCTGAAAGCATTTCCCGTGTTTGGGGGGCTTTTCCATCCCTTCCAAACCCTGAGCTTTTCAGACAATTTTTGTGTGTGCTTAATGCAGTAGTGTGGTGTTCACTGCTTGAGACTTCTCAAATGCTGTGTTTTTTGTATTTTTTTTAATGCCTCTTAGTAATAAGGGGCAGTTTTGCTGGACTCTTATCTACCTGTGTCATGACAAAAACTTTACTCCCGATTTTCAAAACTAGTGGCTGGTAATCTCTTTGCAGAGAAGCATCAGAGCAAAACAGCTTATGTACACTACCTCTCAGTAAAACACTCCATTTCTCTTCTAATAACTTTCAATGTCAGTGTCTCTTCTGACTGCTTGTAGCCGAATTCTAGGCCAGAACCCTAGTTGACTAGGACGGAATACAGGCTTCCATTTCACTTTTGTTTAGGCGCTACCCATCTGATTGATGTGGATTTTCACTTAAGCCGCATAGGAGGAATGGGCTAGTTTCTCCCTTGCTCTGCATTGGCATTGGCTGGCTTTCTTATGAGTGTTTGTAGGAAGACCAAGGGCTTTTTGTTCATTCACAACTTGCCTTTTCACAGTTTAAAGCAGCATATTTATTGATCCTATTGAGAGTAGCCAATACAAGCAATACAATACAAGCCTTGTTAAAAATGTAGCATGAAGAAGTATTATGAGATGTTTACCATTGTTCTGGCTAAAAAAGCAAGCTCCAAGAAGCCTGTAATCGACAGACCTTTGGTACTTTTGGAATGAATCAAGACTGAGGTCACTTCCTGGGGACTTAGTGTTGTTTCTGATGGATTATCCACCTAGTTAGGATACCACTGGTATGACTTCTAGGATGCAGTTGGGAAAGTGAAATGTGAGGAGAGTCTGGTGCATGTTTCCTGCCCAGTAATTTGCTTCCATGTACTGAAGATTGCTATTCTCACACTGGCTCCTCTGTTTATGTAAAATCATGTTTCAAATGTGTCATTGCCTGATGTTTCTAATTAGTATTTTGGTAAATATAAGCCTAGATTGTTAAACATTGAGCAGTTGTCATGGGCGATCCTTGTGTATGCTTGGTAGACCAAGAATCTGGGTACTTAATGGAACAATAGAAATAGCCCTTCAGGTTACTTTGATGAACTATGAAATACTTTCCCAGTCGCCATACTCTGGGGTGTGTTTGTGTGTGTTGGCCAAGTGCTGTCTCCTGTCACTTCCCTTTCCTGATCTATTCTTAGAGCTCTGTAGCTGCTAGTGATAGGTTTTTGTCAAGAAGATTCTGCTCCTTTTAGGCATTTTCATTTTCTTCTGAAAGTTGCAGAAGATAGTGCAAGGCAGCCCAAATCTTGAAGTTTTGACTGTAGTCCATCTAATTTGGTACTGCTGGCATGTTATACATGAATTTATCTGCTTACAACATTTGTTGGTGTCACGATGCACTTAATGACCGGTAACTGTACATAGGTGGAGGGAAATTGTCATATATATGTTACAATCCTAAAATGTGTTCCCTTAGTTAAGGGATTAGTGTGACTGATGGCACCAGAATGAAAACTTTTGACTGTAAAGTTGGGAGATGATTGTACAGAGCCCATTCCCATACCAGAGAAATCTACTCCAGTGTCATTTGTGGACTGGTGTATATTTTGATATTGCTATTGGCACACTGTTTTGGGGTGCTCCTCCTCCATTTTTTCTGGAGCCATTACGGAACCATTGTCTGGTATAATGTTTGTATCACATACATGTGCTGTGTTGTCCTGGTGTTAATTGTGTTTATAGTCTGTTGACCGCTATTTAAAACAAATCTAACCTCTATCTCTTTCCCCATCAGGTCTCTGCCCTGGATCAGGAGATCATTGAAGTGGACCCTGATACCAAGGAGATGTTGAAGCTCCTGGTGAGTGGGGCAAGGGGATTGGCACAGCTCCCAATAGGAACTGCTCTTCTAACGGTCAGCTAGCTACTTCTTGAGAATCACTGTCAATGCAATGTTCTCTGTGCATGCATTTTTTTTAGTACTCTGCCAGGCAGCAGTATTCAAAGTACTCTTGGGGGCATTTTTCTTGAATGCTGCAGTGTTAAATGGTCATTGGATCTTGTTGGCTAAGCCCAGACTGCTTGGGAGATCATTATTGTGTTCTCCACAGATACAAAGTGCTGTCGTTTATTGTGTCAGTTTTGTGCACCTTTTAAGTTAGTCTCAAAAGTTAAATGACATTATTCCTTCGGCTAGACAGGATAAGGGAATGCCCTCTTTATTTATCAACACTGAAATCTGCTTGGTGTGTCTTTGCTAAGTGTTCCCTGTTCTGTGTTTCTTCCAGGACTTCGGCAGCCTATCCAACCTGCAGGTCACACAGCCTACTGTAGGGATGAACTTCAAAACCCCAAGAGGCGCCATCTGAAGCCATTGTCAAATTTTCACTTTTAAAATAAATATATAGAAACAAAGCCGTGACTTTTGTTCTTGTGTGTCACATTTGCGTCATCTAAGTTTGATACAATACTGTGTGGAGGGGCTCTGCCGTGGACATTCTTAACCCAGGCCAAGATCTGGCTTACGGGGGCCCATGAGAAGAGGGGTTTTCATACACAAACTAAGCACACAGTTGTGCTGTATGTAGCTGGATTGACTATGAGCGGCATTTAGGAAGGCGAATGTGCAATGTCACTTGAAAAATGCTTCCCCCTTAAATTAGTGGAGGATCAGATCAGAGATTACTACATACCCAGAACAGTGGTATATGGTGTGTCCCATTCTGTGAGAGAAACCGAGAACCCAGTTTTGTGTCACAGAAAAAAGCCAAAAAGTGTTCTGTAGTGTCAAAACAGAGGAGGCTCATTGGTACCACTGGACTTGCAGCTGAATCTTGAAGGCTTTATGTAACGTAAGAGCTACTTTGATAGAGAAAGGGTAGAAGGTTCACAAGCTGATCAGTCAAGACATGTCCCAGTTGCTTTTGTCTTGGACCAGTGGTAAACCTTGTGGGAGGCAGTTCCCTGTGTTCATTGTAGCTTTGCCAAATGTATGTGTTCATTGTACCAGTGCTGGGGGGCTTTTTGTTCTCCAGATGTTGGATTCAAATTCCCATCAGTCCCAGCATGCATGATCCAAATGATGATGGAACAGAATTATGTAAGGCCAGTGGTAGGCTGTTTTGTGAATGCTCACATTAAAAGGCAAAATATTATATGTAACTCAATAAATATTTGGAGAACTGCAGCTTGGCGGGGGGGGAGGGGGTTAGAAATTTATGTTTTGCATGGACAATGCTCGGAGAGTTACCTTAAAAGCCTTCACTGGTCAGGATCTTCTCCCAAGTGATTTATTGAAAAAACTAAGGAGAAGACAAATCAAGCATCTGAGATGTACTAAAGAATACAAGCAGATGACACACTTGAAGATGAGATTACAGTGGTATCTCTGGTTACAAACGCTTTGGGTTACGAACTCTGCTAACCCAGAAGTAGCTGCTCTGGGTTGCCCCAGAATGAGAACGGAAATAGTGTGCCGGCGGCAGCGGGAGGCCCCATTAGCCAAAGTGCGCCTCGGGTTAAGAACAGACCTCTGGAACACATTTAAGTTCATAACCCAAGGTACCACTGTATTGACTAGAGTGGTAAAAATACAGAACATGAGTAATTTTCAAGCAACATTTTGTAAGTTTTCAGCTCTACACAGATCTGTGTATTTTTATATATGTTACATTTGTGTTGGTGTCTAATCACTGTTAGCATTTTTTGTTATATGGAACTGTGAAATAAAAACATTTTAGAAAATAAAAATAACCCTGCTAATCTTGTAAATGGATATGATCATCTACCAGAGAAAGTAAGAGGGAGATTTACCAGGAATGGCCACGGTCCCACTGTTCTCCATCATTTGCATCTGCAGAGCTCTCTACTAAGAACCCAAGCACAGCCTGTTCCTGCTTAGTGAAATAAATACACCAGCCTCTGCAAAGGTCAACAGACCCTGAAACAAAAGGAAAAGGTTCCCTTCTCAGAAAACATGAAGGTCCTAAAGATAAAGGACCCTGTTAAGTCCAGTCAAAGGCGATGGGTGCAGCGCTCATCTCGCTTTTCAGACTGAGGGAGCTGATGTTTGTCCACAGCCAGCTTTCTGGGTCGTGGCCAACATGACTAAATCGCTTCTGGCACAATTGGACACTGATGAGTGCCAGAATGCAGGAAAACACTTTACCTTCTCACCGCAGTGGTACCAATTTATCTACTTGCACTGGTGTACTTTTGAACTGCTAGGTTGGCAGAAGATGGGACAGAGCTATGGGAGCTCACCCTGTCGCCAAGCCTGAGAGGCTCAGTGGTTTAGGTCACAGTGCCACCCGCATCCCAGTTATGTAATAGGACAATCCAAAAAGCTGGTGTGTAGAAGCTGTTTCCTCCAAGAAGAAACACCAATCTTTGTTTCAAGGAAAATACCAGTATGCTTGTTTGTTGCAAAGATTATTGTAGTTGCTACCAAAGCCTGGAAAGCCTAAGTGTTAAGTGAGGTGCATCAGGGCACAAATACTTGCCCCAAGCAAATGTGGAGCACTCCAGCTAGCAACCAGGGAAGGAAGAGGAGGCGACTGTCAAGTGAGGGAGGGGGGATTCCTTTAGCTGTGGGCCATGGATTATTTGCCAACCTGCTGCCCTCCAGATGTTTTTGTTTTTACTATAACACTTGATTAAAAAAAAACACAACTTAATTCTCTGACTTGTCAAAACGTATTGTCCAACTAATTCACATAATGCATAAAAACCCCTACATTACTGATGAAAACAGTTTGTTCCTTTATTTTAGATGTTTATTTATTAAATGTAAAACAAAGTGATATGTCTCTTCTGACAACTGGTATTCTAACAATTAAAAACACGCTAACAACAACCAACTACAACATCCAGCCTAATTTTTGAACTCCCCCCCCCCTTTTTCTCCCTGCTGTGTGTCAGCAGTTTGTGAAACTGAGGTCAGCCCTAATAAAGGTATTGCCCAGTTATAGATTTCTGCTCTCAGCATGGATTGGTGGGGTCACCTTTGCTTTTTGATCTTCTTCCGACTTT